TAAATTGATTATTCAAAGCGCACATTATATAAAAGAACACCCTATTTTGACTCCAAAATGTGCCAAACCCTTTGTGAGATTTCGCGGCTATTGAAGTTACAATTAAAATTTCAAAAATTTTATTGCACACAATTAGTTTTTAAAAAATACACTTGCAAAACTTATAATTAAAATAAAATATTATTGATACGCATGTTTAAATTTTAATAGTTTTTATTTATATATTATCATCTTATTTACTTGTTATAATCACGTCTAATGTAGTTATTAAATAAGATAATGATTACAGAGGTGAAAAAATAATTGAATATGCCGAGCAATAATGCTAAACTCAATATTTATTTCAACTATTGTTTCGTTAGTATATTTTTTTTATTTTTGAATTATTTTATAATGCAGGGTGAAATTGAGACGCAAAACGTATGCAACATACATAGACTTTTTTTAGTAATCAAATTTAGTTTTCTATTAAAAAAATCCTAAATACCCTAGAGTTTCATATAACCTTATATTTACAAAAAAAAAACAACGAATTTTATATATAAATACATGAATATTTATATAAATATGAAAACTCCGAAAACGTGTTTTCCATATTGCGTAATTCGGTCCTGGTTGCCTTATTTTAACGAGTCAATGTTTTAACATAATTTTGATAGACTTTTTGCATGCACTCTTTCTCTTTAACTAACAAGTATCAATTATATAATTGTTGATATTGAAATGTGGGGGTGAAAATTTAAATTATAATCAATAATTGTTAGTTTATTATACTACTGATAGGTACTAAAACTATTAATCAAACGACGTGAGCAAAACTATTTTCGCAATAATGAAATTCACACAAATTTATCAATAATATAATAATACAATGTACATATCTAAAAAACAAATAATCATTTTCTTTGTAATTTTACTAGAATTTACTTTATTAGTAGGTACTCATACTTCTATGTGCTTGACAAAAAGTAATTGTCTACCTTTTATGATATCTTGGCTAATATTTATGATTACCGCTTTTTTTCTATAGTTTCTACAATTCAACTAGTTAACAATTTTATCTTATAAATATAATAATAACTATTTTAATGTCTATATTTTTCGTTTGCATGGAGTGTTTCCTTGCATGCTTTTAATTTTATATGCGAGCAAATATATATTTATATTTATAATGAAGTATTTTTCTTCAGCCACCAATTATGAGCGCAAAACATAATTGGCACCTTAAAAATAGGTTTCAATTATGACACTATATTTATTTTCAAATTCTATTTTTTCGAATACTTCTGATCTTTGCAGATTAATCTAGCATTTTTACAATCGAAATATTTATTTAAAACAACGAATTCTTGTCGATCACTCACAAAATACTTACTTAAAATATAACAGAATTCTTCAAAGCCTTATTTTGAGTTTGAATTAATACTATTCGAATTAATTTTAATAAAGTAAGGATGAATCAAACGTCAAAAGTTTTTTCGGATGAATCAAACATAATGATTATAAACGACATTATTAATCTTAACCGAAAGATATCAGTGTATAGAAACTAATCATCTTTACTTTTATTTTGATAATGCTTTTTAGTTCAATATGTTTATCAATAGTTGTGGTACGTAATCTCAACTAAGAACACATAGTATTTTTGTATTTTTATATAAAATAGAACATGAGCAACTAAATTACTTCTAATTATATTTTACTTGCAAATTAGATGTCCAGATTACATTTCTCCACCTTTTATAAAATAAATGTTAGGCGTCACATATCTGAGAAATGTCTCACTTATCATCGGAATCTATTAGGAGCACCATTTGAATTAATCAAAGCTTTATCATATTTATTAATTTGTTCTTGTGCACATTATCTTGGCATGTCATTTTTATTTTTATTTTATTTTCATTTATCGCCTTACAGCGACGGTAAAGTGAGGATCTGGAGACTGCTCAAGACCCACCAGAGCCCGGACAGATGACCTGGCAGGAAGATGTCGAGGGTCAAATAACGCCCACGAATGCTCTCAGTAGTCCTATTACAGGATCAATTAGATCAAAATGTAATATCCTCGTTCATGTCACAGGTGATGTTACTGTGCGTTAGTATTTTTATATTCAATTTTGTGATATTTTTATTTTATAGTAAAAAAATTGCGTGATCAGGAATCGCCTTAATAACTAGAAATTTAGAACAAAATGGGTATTTATTGGTTTTTAAACATTCACTCACACGGACAAATATGGCTATTATGAAACTAGCAAAGGCATGTTAAAATCTTCAAACATGATTTTGTTAGCTTGTAGTCAATGGCAAAGTTATATATAGTATCATTTTTTTTTTTGCAAACGAAGCATTTTTCAAAAGATTTTTTTAATGACGTCAGGCACGAAATCTTGGTGGATATAAACAAGATCAAAGCCTAATTCCACTATTGTTTTAAATTTACTATGCGAATTATTTTATTATTTCATTGGTAGAGTTGGCGAATAGTATAAACAGTATCTGGCTGAAAAAATAAATCATTTTATTTTGCGTTTAATTTTTAAATTTCAGTTTCTGTGGTACATTTAATACTTAATGAGGATTAACTACATTGGTTCACATATACTTATTTCTATATTTTACAATCGACAATTGGCAAACAATATATTTATTTAATTAAATCTTATTTTGAATATATTGTACTATAGTAGGGAGCTTTGTAGAAACAGTTTATGTATTAATTAGAGAAAAATCAAATCTCGGTTTATAATTTAAAATATCTTTAAATATTTTTGGTAATTATAATTCAGATGCTTAAATTGTCTTTCTTATTGTAAAATATAAGAAATGCTAAATATTCGCCAACTCTTTACAACACATGTTTTAATGTATTATTTTTAAATACATATGTGAGTATGTAAGTATTTATATGTATGTATAATATATATAAATATATGTATTATACATACTATTTATAGTATTGCAAATTAATTTACTTATAAACTTACTAAAATTATTTTTTATTTGTTAAGTCACCGAAGTTCAAGGTATTATGACAATACAAAATAGATGTATACCATTTATGAATATTTGAATACGAATTTATGAATATTTTTGAGTTAATTTAAGCAAATATTGGATAATATCAAATTATCTTTTAGTTATAGCACTCAAGTATTCTGAATATTTTATTTATTACATGAACATAAAAAATATTACGAATTTACTTATGTTATTATAGCATTAGATATTAATGAACGGCTTTTATTATAATTGTGAAATATATAATTTTAAATCCTTTATTCAATATAAATATCCTTAGAAATTATATAATTCATTATAACAATTTTAAATGTTGAACGATATAATTTTTAATTTAGTACATAAAGAATTTAACATTTGCTAATTTTATTTTAGTTTTAGTAAAATGCCAATTAATAAAAATGTACCTGTGCACCGTTCATGTTTATATATAATTACATTTTCATTTTATCCTAATAGCGTATTATAAACTAATTAGAATCACATTAGGTAATTTATATTTATACAGAAAAATAGTTATTAAAATACTGAATAGAAATATTTTTTGTATGTAGATAGGTATTCTAAAAAAAATATTTCCTTTATTAATTGTGAAGTCCAAATTTCAAGAAATGTACTAATAAAATAAACATTTCATTTAATAACTAATATTTTCTTATTTATTATCTCACGAAGATTAGTGGAAGTTCAATCAGAAAGTGAAATCAGATGTTGAGTTTGAAAATTATTGCTCTCGCTGTGGAATAATATGTGCTGAAAAAAAGATTACACTTAAAACATTCTTGTTATTGGATATTGCACCCTCTAACCCCAAAGGAAGAAATTTTTCCAAATTGAGGAATTTTTTTAGTGCCTTCGTAAAGGAATTTTTGGCCAAATTGAAGGAAGAATTCACAAGTGTTCACTTTTGAAACATGGCTGAGCTAATAGGATAAACTTTTTGTGATAAATGATTTGCTTACTTATTATTTTTGGTACATCTTCAGGAAGAGAAAAAGTAAATACCTATTGATAATTTGTTTTTTAATTCAGAAGCTGAAAGCACAAAAAGGAACCAGGATCTCAAATTATTTTGTGAATGAGTAAAAAATACTAATATAATAATGTTTACGGCATGTACTGCAAACATCAAAATTATCATCTGCAACATCGATTTTTTATTAATAAATTGTATTTCTTCTTCGTGATTTTCAAAATGTTTTTACTGATTTTGATAAATTTAGAAGCGCTGATTCCAAAAATGCTATCCGTTTTTGGCTAAATCTATCTATTGTCCAATAAGAAGCACCCAAACTTTGCATAAAGGCCAACTTTAAAGCTGGTTTTTACCATAAAAATGATAATGATCTTTTTTTGATTTATTAATATCATTTAGCTTAAAATTTGTATTTGAAACTCAAATTTTTGGCCATCCCTCACTGCCTCTGGGAAACAGGTAATTTGGCGCCTATATTGCAAATTGCTTGTTTGCACCTGACTAGTGCAAAATTGTATCCATATATTAATGTATGTTTAGTTGCAGAAAGTTAGACATAAAAACAATACAGAATTGGTATTATAGTCAAGGCTATAAGAAGTAAATATACCTATGTATCCTTTATATTGAACATGAAAGTACTTGCAAGTAATTTATACTTGCATAAATCAAAATTCACCACTGGCATTTTAACATTTACTACTCAAGTACTTACTTTTTTTAGCCAATGAAAAATATATCCTGATTCTCATTTATCTATATATTTCTAACAATATTTATATGATTGTTAGAACATATAGACAGTTTCTATTTTTTATTTTGTTATACATTCACCGATGAAAACACAAATCCTATCCTATATCCAAAAAACCTAAACCTAACCACTCTTGCTGAAATCATCACGTTGAAAATGGAAATAAACCAAACAAATACAACTTTAAATATGTGTAATTAAAAATAATTAAAAATTAACATCATAATGGTAATTAAAATCATGCTCAAACTACTTCTTTTTGAAAAAGCTCATTAAGTTTGCTTGTTTTGTTCCCGGGTTTATCTTCTTGGGCATTGGTTTTGGTGGGGATGGCGCTGCCTTTTTTGCTGGAGGTTCTTCCTCCTCTTCAGATGCACTGCATTCTTCAACTTCTTTACAAGTGACTAAAAAGATTTCAACATTTTAGTAATTCTGTATTTAATATTGCTCTACAATTATTTAATTGCATTGCTGAAAGACTGTTTCAAAAGTGTAATATAAGTGTAAAATGGATTTTCCTTCAGATAACTTAATATAACAGTTCCATTTAATATTAAATCCTTGGCATTACTTGTAACCTATGATATTTAGACAAAATATAATACACATTTATTGAAAGCATACTTATAAATCCATCTTCATCCGTATACATTTTATCTACAATTTTCTTTTTCTTCTTATTAAGTGTATTGGTATTTGCAAGTTCTTCAACAATATTTTTCCCTACAGGTTTATCCAAATTACTTTCTGCTGCAGGTTCCTGCTCCATTTTTTCATCTTCAGATTCATTGCCAAAAATATCTATAACATTAAAAAATAAAATCAAAGTCCAAGATCCAAGTTACTTCTAAAATAATTTGTTGGTCTTACCATCATCACTAGAATCACTTTGAACGTAAACTCTTTTTCTTCTCTTCTTTAAATTATCTTCATCAGAATTTTCTCTTGCTCGTTTAGATTTTTTCTTATTCACAATTTTGTTTAGAGTGCTAAGTTTAGTCTCAGGTTGTGGAGTACCCGGTATGACATCATCATCCACATTGCTTCCCACATCATCATTTGAAATACATTCATTTTTGCTTAAATTTTCTTCGGTTTTAATTTCTGTTTTAACTACAGTACTTTCTGCTACACTTTCAGAAGTAACTTTGTTTGAATTATCTTCCGCTGTAGCAGTTGAACTCTTAGGACTAGTTTTTTTGAAAAAATTATTAATTGATTTAGTCTCTCCTTTTTTAGTTACATTATTAGTACTTTTTGCACTTGTTGCACTTTGTTTGTTGAAGAAATTTGCTATTCCACCTTTTGAAATCTCTTTGTTCTAGGAATAAGTAACATATGAATAAAATTAAAAACAAAATAGTAGTCTATTATAAGTATTTTGTGAAATACATACCTTTAAAGGCTTTTGTGATGATGATAAACTCTCAGGCTCCTTCTTAAGGTTGTTTGATGCATTTGTGCTTTGACTTTGCTTTTCTAACTTTGGTACTAAAACGTCAGGTTTCACATCCGCGGTTATTGCTGTATTTGTAAAAATAATATTTTAATATATGTGAAGTTACTTTATTACATGCCTTCCAATAAAAGTAAAGTTTTTACCTTCTTGAGCAATAGAAGGAGTTATTTTTCTGTCTATAGTAGGGCCTATTATGCCACCTAAACTGAAAATATATTAAATCCATGTTCAAAATTAAATCGTGAATTAATTATTAAAACAAAAATTCAGTGTATTCAGTGATTTCTTATATAGTGATGCAACATAGGCTTTTTAATAATTAATTTGTTTTAATCAATTACAAATAAAGTAATGAAATAATTAATTAGTAATAATAAAATATGCAAGCATAATAATTTATATAATAATGCATATTTCAAAAATTCATTAATGCGCAAATAAAACATTATCAGAGAAATTTACTGTACTCATTTCAGATGCAATTAAATGAAAACACTAAGCATCATGTTTGAAAAATCATATCAAATAAATTTGTGTGTAAATTATGTAAACGTTTGTTCAAATTATTTATATTAGCTCCGATTTTCATATTAGAAAAAAATATTTTTACTAGTTACAGCTATATTATATGTTCTGAAAACTAATATATTTACATTGCAGGTTTGAGTAAGAAAAAGGAGGCCCTAGAATGTTTTACACATATCCTTACTTCACCACAGTTTGTGGTAAAACTAGTTGAACATGAGCTGTTCTAGCAAAAACAATATTTTTATAAAGTTCAGGACAGCCATACTTCAATTTTAATAAAATAGGTTAGAGTCCCATGTAAGGTTTAATATTAACACTCTGTATAAGATTGAAAATTGAAAGTAAATTAAATACTGATCATATAACATACCAAGGAGAATAATTTTCATTTGCAGCTGCTAATAATTGTATATTTTTCAAGACCCCTTTCTGAGCACTATAAACTGATTTGGAAACATCAGTTAAATTTTGTACAAAATCATCAACTGCATAATCACGTAACACCTTGTAAAAGATCGTGTTCATATTATATTAAAATTTTTAGTTAATATAAAAGATTAATATAGGTGAATAATTCTTACTGTCACTATTAGAGACCCATCTTCTTTCTTTCCTGATATTGCATACGTTGTTAATAAATTTTCTGCATCTTTTTTCTTTTCTATCCATGTAGTGAGAACAGCAGTGGAATCTTTATAGTTTATATTGAGAGTTTTAGACAACCATCGTGCAGTAACCTTAAAGAAATTAATGTGTCAAGTGCACTTTACTAAAATAAAAATATATAAATCTATCATACGATCTTTTCTTCATCCAGAATAAATTCATCCAAGTTTTGCAAAAATATATTTCTTGATTCTTCGTCCAACATTTTTCTCTAAATTCAACACTGGGGTAAATGTTGAATAATACAATGGCGTATAACTTTGGACAAATTAAATAAATAGTGATGCATTAAATTGTAAATTAACTAATAAACATATTTTATATAGCGTACAACATGAAAATACTAGAGATTTATATTAATTTGAATCAAAACGAGGTTTTCGCGGCTTTACACAAGAGAACATTGCTGTCATGGATGACAGTTGACTGACAGTGACAGAAGGAAAACGATGTCGTGTGTCATAAGATTTAAGTTAATATCCATTATCGTAACATGGTCCTAACCTAACCTTTTATTTTTCTAGATTTAAGTAATCAATTTTTTAAAACTTTGTGCAATTTAATGGTTCTGTATAAATGATGAGGCTCCATATGTACTTTTTTCAATAATTTCATCTTTCAACTTCGGTGAAATCAGCAATACAAACTAATTAATTTTGTATTTGTAATACTCCCAACAATTGTCAGGTTAAATTTATTTTGTGGTTATGTTCTCGTCATAATATATTTTCAAAATGTTGAGAACAAATTTAATTAAACTGAAAAGAAATACTTTGGCTTTGAATATTGTGAAATATTCTTCAAATATTGCCGTAGAAACTCGTCAAGAACAACCTAAATATCCACCGATTTTAGATTTGTCTAGAAGTGCAGCCAGACGAAGAGAAAAGCAATCATGGCATGATGAAATACAAAATGTTAAGTCAGTAGAAGAAAAGCTGATTAAAATTAATATGCCAAAGTATTATGGTTTTAAATCTGTTTTAATAAACCATGAAAAAGTTCCTTATAATGCTTTGCCGTTGATACAACATTACACCCGAACACATTTCATTGAACAAAATGAACCACTTAGTTTTTACAGCCAGTATGAAGAAAAAACTACAAAATATCTTGAACTAATTAAAGGACAGATTGAGGAATCATTATCTTTTGTTCACAAAGCTATTAAGTATGATAAGATATTCACTATTTTTATTATGTTAATTTGAATTTTCTTTATCAGCATGCATTATATATGTTAAATTATCATTGCCTTCTGTTTATCTTTCTTATTAAAATAATAAAAGTTTTTATTTAGATCAATTTAATTAACTCGCTATTGTGAAGTAATTTACTGTCTGTGCATTCATGACAAGTTCCATCACATTCCTGTATAAGTTTTTGCACATTTTATTATTATTTATTCATTTTAGATTAAAGACAGCATGAAAAGACAGCAATACAAAAATTTTAATCTTTTCATATAGATTAATTAATTCATTCCATTTTTAGAAGTAATGTGAAAAGTGGTGAATTATCAGCATCAGAAATTGAAGATAAAGTAGCAGAAATGGTGATAGAAAATATTAATAGAATTATCATAAATAATTTAGCAAAGGACGAAGATCATTTATTTGAAGCTGGTATTGACCAAAAGTCACGCATTGAAGCCTATTGGGTTGTGGGTGGCGTTTTACCTCCTGCATCTACAAGGAAAGCAAAAAAGGGCCTTAAATGGCTGGAACATGAAGCTGATGATTATGTTGATAAACATGTTCAATATTTGGGTAAGTAGACAAGTTAAATTGTAACTGTAAAAATAGTTTGTAACTAAATATATTAAATAGAAATGTACAAAAATATTATGTTAAATTGGAATTTATTTGAGCTCTGTCTGGAATTTGACGTATCTTTAATACTTAATAAAATAGAAGTTACATTTTTTCAGGAGCGCAAATTTAAAATTAATATAGTCATTATTTTGAATCTATGTCCTTTGTTTTCTGAGTTTTATTAAAAAAAAAATTGATTTAAAAAATGTGAATATTTTTTTATATCTAATGAAAACACTTATTGTATAAAGCTAAGCATGAACAATTTCCTTCCAGAATTGTGTATAGAATTTTACATGTTTTCCGTTCATGCAGTTTATTAAATAAAATATATATTTGTCATTTGAACAAAATATTTTATAAATCCTTACATAAGTAATTTTACTAACTATTTACTGCAATCTAGTTCTATATTTAAATTGTAATGCTTTAGCTACTCCTGCACTGACTATTAGAAGTGCATGTCCACTGGAATCTTTTGTACCTCATGAATCCGCAACGAAAGATGTTTACTCTATTCCACATTATATGTATGATCCTAGAACCCTTGGATATGTACAAGAACATAGACATGCTACAAGTATACCAGGTATAAAATAGTAAATAAATCGAGTTGAAAGATGATTGAATTATTGTTTGTATGCTATTGTTTTAGTTAAATGATGAAAATTTTCATTTGAATACTACAATAATTCAAAGTACTCAATACTAATGGAAAATTGTAAATCAATTTATACTTGTTAATTAATTTCATCATTTTTAATTTGTTCTACATTTCAACTAGTTTATACCATTTTTTCTATAGAAGATACCTTTTCAGGTTTCTGGCCGGGTGATGAACAAGAATTTGGATTACTTTCTTACCATACAAGAGGTAGTATGTTAAACAGACTCAATGCTGGTGAAAAAGATTATCAAGAAGCCTTACACAGCATGGGAATTTTACATTCCTATGCATGGTTGTTGGCTCAATCAAACTACCAAGGATTCAATACTTATAATGACATCACATATCCATTAACAACTCAAACTATCATAACTAATGGTCAACTGTTCTCCCTATACACATACCAGTTGAACACTACTTTAATCCATAGTGATAATTACTGTAGCAATGAGAAGGTAAATTTATGTTGGGGTACCAAAGAAATGAAATTATTTGACTCTGTTGACGACTCAGGTAAAGTGGTTAATCTAAATGACAATGTTTTGAGGCAGCTGATACAATATTATATAAATAAACCGAAAGCAAGAGATATTGAAATGAAGCCATATTTAGATAAATGTCAACCGCTTGTAGCTAATATACAAGATGAGGAAAAACGTGTTTGGCTAGAAAGTAGGTATAAACATTTGGTGTCGAATAGACCAAGGCATAGATTACCTTATGAAGTTTATCATTGGGAAAAGATTTATAAAATTGATCATAAAACAAGACCAATGGAACCTAGAAGGAGGCCTTTTGAATTGGGTATTAATCCTATAATAGAAGGCTTGATGAACATACACCTGAATATATACCAAAATGCATAAGACCTGGAGGTCCTAAGAGTAAACCAAAGTGGGCTAAAACTTATTATCCTTAATTATTAATGTATGATTAACTAAATGTATAATTATAATATATAAAAAGAAACATCATTTTATATTTGTTATTTGCATTTTGGAAAATTGCCAGTTGAATAATATAGGTATGGGCACTTTGCAATACACAATCAACATATTTGGAGATAAGTACAACTCAAAATGATATTTTCAAAGTTGTGTAATTGTGATTACCTATATTCAGTTCTTTATTATACATTGAGGTAGACAGTAGGAAATTGATATATCTGAAATTATATTTTTCAAGATGTATGTAGAAAATCTATAAATCGTTCAAACACAAAATAGGGAAGTTTGTGTACTACAATGAGTTAAATTGTGTTTTAGTTGATAGTATTAAAGTTTGTAGTGCTTATGTGCATACAAGTTAAAATCTCCTTTGTATACAAAATACTTGAAGAGTACAACAATTGTAAATTTAAATTAGTAAAAAAAAAATCACTAGCTGAAATTAATGTTCTCGCATAAAAAAATTATATTTTAATCTAAAAAACTTGTGTTAATTGGAATATGCACATAGTGTGCAATGTATTGTTTCCCATTTTTGCCTTGTTTCAGCCACTGCATCAAAAAATCATACTTGTTATTTTATGAAATTCGGGAATAAGTTCAATTTGAAATAATATTTTATAAATACTGCAAGTGTAATTACTAATATTCGATTCTTGGAGATAGTATGACCAAATAATAATTTGTTGTATTGCTGCTGCTTTGCAAAAATGTAGAGTATAGATAGTTCTGTATATTCAAATTGAAAACGGAATACGCCAAAGTATTGATTTTTGAGGCACAGGGTTTTATAGGAGAGTATAGGTATTAGATCAAAATAGTATCGCTTTGAGTGATGCCATTCAACAAAATATAAAATATAATTTTTGTATAATATTAAAATATTGATGAATAGAAATTCAAAAGATATAATTTACACCACAAATATAATTATCATTACCATTCCCACCACCAATTCACAGAATATGTATTATTTAGTGCAGTATTTTTGTTTTTTTTTCTGGATTTTTCTGGGTTTCTTGGGTAGTTGGTAGTATTTGATACCTAATGTTGTTAGCGTTAAAACATTTTTGTTTATGTATTGCGGTCTTTACATAATGGCATAAATTTTTAAAATATGATTTGTCCACATATTGCTTGTTAAATGTTCATGACGGCTAAAATTTCTGAATAAAGAGCTGTTAGGCTTTTAGTGCAAGCTTCTTTGAATTCACTTTCTTCTTGGATATCTAGAATTTTGTTTTAATTTTTGCCAGTGCTGTAAAAGCAGTTATCACAGCAAAGCGAGTAAAATGTGAGTCTGATAAAGTTTTCATAAAAATGGTAATATTTATAAAATACAATAAAGATCTTCTTAAACTATAGCTATTCTGTCATTCATGAAAAGTTGCGAGAATAAATTTATTCGCGATCGTCGCAATTATTGTCTTCTTATACATCGATCATTAATTTGCTTTCTTGCTTTTCCAGGGCCGTTTTTTTAATGCATTAAGTTAGAATTGATGCATCAAAACTAGGAGATGATTTGGTTTTTAAAAAGATGCTATTCTGCAGTGTTATTCGACATTATTCAAGTATTTGTAAACATACTGGTACTAAATAAACTAAAACCTTGTTTAACAGAGCTACTATTTTTAATATCTAGAAAATAATTATTTTATTTCGGTCTAATAACCATATGGAGTCTATACCAATAAAAATTCTTTCTGGAGCGCATCAGGAATGGGTTAATTTGTCAACTGTGTTTTGTATGTACGATTTTTCTCTATCTTTCAGGACAAGAATTTCAGCATTTGTCTATACAATAAGCACATCAACTTCTACAACAAGATCTGGACAACGTTGAAAAACGCTTTTTTTTACTATATATGGAGGATACGTGTTGATGGACCTCGAAGCCGAAATTAAATAAATTTTCTGGGCAACTTGGAGAAGGTAATCGTCGTCCTTCATTGGATTAGCAAAGCTGCAGCAGCCACAGATCCCCACCTTGGTTGCTCACCTCATCGCAGTTCCTAATCGGATGAAAACAATGCGCGAAAGGCTCACCAATATGAAGGCTCATCGATCGAAACGTCAAATTCCATCTAACCACACTCGTAAAAACGAAGAGGCTTGACTTTTACATTCAACCTGGAATCGGTGGATTTTACTTCCGACTATGGAGCAAATTCAGGTAATGGCATCGGACAATTCATAATTTCTTCAACTGTCAGAAATTCTATGCCTTACCTTATGAATTTTCCAAATATTATCTGCAAGGGAAGAACCGACCAAGATTCAATCGCTTTTCATAACCAGCATGGTGATGATAAGTCTTTCGAAGCAGCACTAATTATACTAGAAAAGATATGTGGAGTAGTTTTAACCATGATACTTTTTAAATGTAATAGTTCTTAATAGTTTTCTTGACTTTATATAAAAATATTGGAAAAATGTTCTCTCTTATGAAAATAAATTTATTAAAATATGTACTTTTTTTAATATACAATGTACATTTGTTTTTTAATTTTTTTTGAAAAAAAAATATTTTGACTTATTTTGGAAATTCTGAACTTTTTTTCAAAGCAAACGTACTGCTTTAACAGCATAGACACGCAATGTCAAAGCGCGTAAGCGCCGCATCGCCGTCTAACGGAAAAACATTAGTTCGGAACCCATAGGAATGTAAACAAAATTTATACTTATTGTTAAAATCTCTATAAAATATCTGATAATTTGATGTGCATACGTCCAATGATCATTTTTGACCGCCAAATGGCTTTTTTTTTATTTTTTTCATTAGATCTCCGAAACCGCTAGACCTGCCTTCATGAAAATTTGATCAATTCTTCATCTTGTCAATACAAGTAAAATGTTTTTTGAATTATTAAAATCAGACGCTCTTGTTTTCTCAAAAATTGAATTACCATTTTCGGCACTTTTTGCTCCGTATCTTTGGAACGGCTAAACCTGACTTTGCCAAAAACTAATCAGCACGTCTCCTTATCAATAGGAATCGAATATTTTTTTAATCATTCAAATTGGCTAATCCGTGTTTTCGAAATCGTCGACGAAAAATTGTATCCGCACATATATACATACACAAACATCCATTTTTTTCAAAGGCATGTTAAAATGTTCAGAAACCTTAGAAACGTAAAATAATCTTCATTTTCGATTTTTTGCGATTACTATATAACGTTCCCTACGGAAAGTTAATAAATAAATTAATTTAATTTATACAATTACATATATTATGAGTATGTTTGAAATACATAATTGGAAATCGTATTGATTATTTTTTAGTTAAAAGAAACATTTTACTTTTGAAATGAACAGTTAAAGGTTTTTTCTAAGCAATCTCGATTCTTAGTAATTAAGTTAATTATTCACATGTATGGGAATCTTTTGCATTTTGCTTCAGGCAAAGTGCCACTTACAACTAGTTAAAACCCTTCCTAAGGACTCCCTAACCCATTTTTATACGGAGCCCAGCCAAGGCACGCTCTGGTATATACTATAGTGAGTGTAGAGTGTAAATCTCAAAAAGCATTTTTTTTTTGGCATAAATATGACAAAAATCTATACTAGTTGAGTTTATCTTCGTACAGTAAAATTTTCACAACTTGCAAATAGTAGAAAATCAATTCATAGAAAAAATTATACGATTCAATAACGATCTATTAAAATTAAATATACTCACTAACGCAGGTGTTATTTGCGACCTACAAGTAAAATACGACATCACTACCAATTTTATGCTTTAAGCCAGAGAAAAATTACCCTGACATTTATTTATTATGAAAATTCATTATATCACATAACTGACCCTTGACTTTGGTCGAATTAATACTTATTTTACAGGGCCGTGCTGAGCACATTTTTTTATTGCGGAAAAAATTAGTATCCATATCAGTATAAATTAAATTTAGCGTATATTCTTTTTGTTATGTTTTTTATATATTTTTCATATAAATCATTACAAATTTAGATTAAATTCATGCAATGCTTTTTTCAATAGGTAAAATGATTCGAAAGATGGGTATGTACAAAATTGCTACCAAAAATATTAACTCTTTTCACTCGCAAATTCCGAGATTTATACGAATTTTGCCGCCGGAGTGGTGGCGTCCGAGTGGAAAGGGTTAAACTAATTATTAGTTTGCAATAATTTATAGTATTAACTATAAAGCAGCTACCTTATCGTGGTGTAAGGTGTTGAAATTGCAAAACATGAAAAATAAATTTTATTTTATATTTGTATGTTTCAAGACTTCCCGATGATTTTGCCATAAAAATGTATGTATGTGTGTGAAATATGTAAGTACGCATGATTGTTAGAATACGGCGTTTTTTTAGGAAGAACGGCTGAACCGATTTAGATGATCCGAATAATATTTTATTAAATTTTTCACAATGCGGCGAGCTCATTTATTTTTGAAGACCTGTTGACCATTTCATAGTCAGAACGAAAATGGAGCTAGAAACAGCAATTTAACTTATGTAATTTTTTATATTAAAAAATCTAATATATGTCTTGCATTTGATCATGAAATAGAAAATTTCAGCAATTTGTCCTGATGCTTGCATTTTAAGTTAATTTTTTATGATTGTTTTATGGTAATCGGAGGTAAAAAAATTAATTTAAAATAGTTTTTTCAGAATTAATGTGTAGGAATCAACAATCTTGAAGTAGAATGTAATTATTTCGAAAATTTTATTCAAAATCAAATTGCAATTAAACGAAAAAAAAAACAAAATATGAAAAATGTAATAAAATGCATTTTCAGAATAAGTATTGACTTGATTTTTAAGGGAGTCAGTATTTGGAGAACAATATGTCCAAATAAATTTAATATTTGTGGAAAGTATAAAAGACGTATGATTGACAATTTTTTCATTCAAAATTCTGCAGTTTTATTACTCACATTGTTTAATACAAATAATTATAAAAGTTAGTAACAAACTGCATATCATAAACTTAATTTCGTTGACAAGCCGATAGGTATAGCCGATATAATATTTTTTTAAATATTTTTAGATTTGTTTAAGGTAAATTGATTGATTTTATATAACAAATTTGCATAATACTGTACAATATTGATTAAATTTATTCAAGAAAATCAAGTATAGCAATAATGCTTACATATAAAGCCGACTCTGTAATTTCGTCAAAAATAATAATAAATCATATTAGTTTTCTATTTGATACACCGTCGTGTAGGTACAGTTTCAGTAATGGTTTTATCTTAACAGTTGTTATTTTCTTTTAAATTAATTAACTTAGTTATAATATTATTTACTTAAAGAGTTATATTAGTATGGATATTAAAAAGTGCGCATATAAAATATAATTTGTAATATTTAAATATAATTTGTAACATAACATTTTAATTAGAATGATGTGTATTTTCAGTTTACGAATCATACTTTGTGCTTTGATAATCAAAACTTTTGTCACATATTCAGTGCAGCATGAAACTTACGAATTGATTCATAATATAACTCGATATAAAAGACAGAATTTGGCAATTGAACCAATTTTTAAGGTAATTCATTTTCATTATTTTTATGTTAAATAATTACTATTTAAATGTATTGTCTCATTATAACTAGTATAAATCTAGGCCAGCAATGTCAAAGTAGAAAGTATCATTCATCATTTGATCTTTTAAGCAAATAAATTTTGAAAATATTTATTAAAAATGGTAAAAAAGCAGTATCCAGATGCATAGGAAAATATAAAAGTTTTTAAATTTTACAAAAGGTCTTTTGACCTTTAATTTTTTATATTTCACAACAACCCAAAATAATTAAACTTTCCGAAACAGACGTTCACGTTTTCAATTTTTTGAAACCAAATTTAAAATCTTTTTGACTCGCGATGATTGGTTTTGTGAGACGATCGGTTGAGCCGTTCCTTTATAACACAAAAATGCAAAATTATGTGTTTACGTTGTAGTCAATAATTTTGAAACAATTTTGAAAATTAAAAAAACTTTGAGCTCGCCCGTAGGTAAGCGGTTAAGAGCGACAGGACTTGTTTCAGAGGTCCCGGGTTCGATTCCCACTTCGAGCAGCCTGTTGTCAGGCAACATTGACAACGATTTTCATTCGGAAATATAGATAGCAATATGTTTCCAAGTGAAAATAGCCCTCTCCGGCATTGTTGCACCATACTTGCCCTATTACAGAGATTGTAATAAAAATTTATCATACAGAGATGTGACAACTGTTTGGGTTGCCATATGTAATAAAACAAACGTAGTTTGTAAGATCTTACTCACAACAGCTCATAGAACCCATTAGTTCTGAATATACCTATTTTATATTTTCAGAACAATGGACACCGGTTATCATTTTATTTGCGTTTCTAGGAGATTTTTTTTTCTCGGATGCTTATATTATATACATATATGTATTATATTTTCTATTTTATTTTATTTAATATACTCATTTTCTAAATATAAATTTAGTACATCATTTGTCGAAGTTTAACAAAATAATAATTTTTATTTATGATTCACTTTGTATAAAAATGTGCAAGCACAAGTTGCTAATTTTCGATAAATTTTGTGTCTATTATCTATGTTTGTATTTAGTGGTTCAAAATGAAGAAACATTTATATATATATATTCAATAATTGGTTTGTTTTCAGTGGAAAAGTAATGCATTTGCATATTCAGTTTTCTGATTAAATTGATTATTTTACCAGGGTCATCCCAAAACTCGAGAAGAACTATGGGACCGAGCTTTCAATGGTGAACGCACTGCATTTGACCAGACTCCCAGCCTGGTGTTTCTTTTGGATACATTGGCCAGGAGATATCTCCGAGACTGTGTTCCGGTTATACTTTATGACTCGATGGTAGAACATGGCGAAGATCTTCTACTTCAACAGTTGTTCAAAAAATTCCCACTATCATTTTTTCACGGAAGAATCGGTAAAACGTGAATTCTAATAGTATCAGCTATTAACTTTACCTTTAGTTGTGAAAATTTCATAATTTTAATAATATGACCTATATCAAAAGATTTTAATATCGAGAATTTCAGAAATATCGTATACTGGAACCTTAGTTGATAGAAATACCAAAAATACAGTATCTTAAGATACCATTTTGTATTGTTGATTATTATTATTCATATAATATTTGTACACAAATTGTCGGTTTTAAAGTATTTTTTTATAAATAGATGACAATTATAAAATTGCTGATAAACGATTGCTGGAACCTATGGGAAGTGATGATAAATGCAGAAGTTACATACTATTTTTGGCAGATGTGATGCGCAGCAGCAGCGTTATTGGACCACAAACACATGCAAAGGTTTTTAATTAAATTAATTCAAAAAATGAAATAAAATTATAACAACAAGGTTATTTAAGTTATAAGTTTTATGTAAGACTAGAACTAATATACTCAACTAATCATTGCGTGCTTAGGTATTAACTATTTTCAAAAGCATACTATTTTGAATGTTATCTAAATTATGTTACTTTAACGTCGTATAATTATTATGTAAATATATACTGCAGCTAACAACATAAATACTTAGCATCCATATCTAAGAATCCAACTTTTCTTATTACCAATCTTTTCTCTCTGGATTTCAATTTATTTTGTAATGGGTTTCTGTAAGAGATATTTGCCACGTTTCCAAAATTTACGCAGTGCGTGTACTAGCTTTTCCAACTTTTCACCCAAAGTTCCACCTACCTTAAATGAATTTTGAATAACAGAAGAAAATGTACAGGCTTTCGAATGATGCTAATTTAAAAGTAGTCCAAAAAGTCGCACTGGTA